CGCCTACCGCTTGGGACCCCGCGGCATCCACCCCCTGGTAAGCGGGAATGGGGCCACGGTGTGTCAGGAGGGTGGGCCCTGGGGCCTCTTCAGTGCCGCAGAGACACCTCGGCCAGGCCCCCGCACCGCCTTAACTTTGGGAGGGAGGGAAATGGGGAAAAGGGCAAAGAACGGAACAAAATGAATAGTGGGGAAAGCGGCCGGGGTCGCTTGGAAAGGGACATTTTTGAAAGGGGAGGGAGGGGAAAGTGGGCCCTGGAACGCTGGTTTGAGGGTAAGGGGGGCAGGCGGCGACGCCACGGACCCAGCGCGCCCCGAAGAGACAGCCTCCTAACCCCCTCCCAAGCTCGCCCGTCCCTCCCGCTGCCCGCCAGCGAGTGGCCGCTTTCTGGGGAGGACATACCTTCCTCCAGGCAGCCCCGGGGGGGAACAAGGAAAAAGTCGAGTGAAAATGTAAGGGGAAAGGGAGATCCGGCCGGAGATCGCAGCCCTGTGGGGAAATGAGGGGTCGCTGCTGGGCACTGCAGCCCCCGAGGGCGAGGGGAAGCCGGGTAGGACGGGATGGGAGGTCTCCAGCCTCGGCACCAGGCTCCCCGGCAGGATGAGCTCTCTCCAGGCAGCTGCCTGAAAACTTGGCTGAATCACACGAAAAGTGGGGTTCAAGCTCTGTTTGGCTAGCGATACCTCCCGCTGCTCTTCCTCTTCGCACGGAGCTGCGCCGTGTTAGGAATGTGCCTGTAAAAGATCCCTTCGACAGTGTCTCCTGAGACAAATCATGCTCACAAACCTCCAGAATACAGGTGGGGTTTATCTGTAATTTTAATTTTACTGAATTTATCTTTAAAAAATAGTGGCAGAGGCAACTCAACTTGAAATTTAAGCATCGGGATCAGTGAAAGTCTGGGTTCCATCAGCCACCACTGAAGAAGGTGGGAACTCTGGCTGCCGAGTCCTTTGCTAGTGGTACCTGCAGTTCCTGACCTCAAATAGATGTGTATTGAGGCATCATGCTCTCAGCACCTCTAAATGATCAAGAAAGTTGTTTCTGTGCTGTCATCGATTATTTGGGTGCACACAGAAGGAAAGACTTGACCCTGTTGTGTTTTGGAGTATATGTTGTAGACATCTATATTGATACTCTCTCTTGTATACCTTCAGTAATTATTCAAGAAAGACTCAAACTCCTATTCAGTAACAACACTTACTAGCTGAATAGGAAAAGAAGCAATGTGCAGTATGTTATACTCATTCATTATACATGTACAAACTATTTTTAGGAACAAATGTTTCTAGTAACATCATAACTGAATTTACCACATCATTTCTGTAAGATACAAGATTTATCACATTGTACAAGGTTATTCATACCTATGAGAAAGCAATAGGGGGTTATTAAAACTAATTGAGAAGGGGAAAGGAAGGGAAATACCCAGTCTTGCTTTGATTTAAAGTAATTTCAAAGTCAGACAGAAACTGAGATCCCATTCTCTTTACAGCCTAACTGTAATATATAGCAATAAGCGTGTTGTGCCAGTTAAATTATTATGTCACAAAATGCATAAATCCCTTTAATTTTCTTGTGATCATATAAAACATCTTACATAAATTTCTTAGACTAAAATGGGGCTCAAGAGACAGGTAAGGCCAGAGGTATAGTGACCTTCCAATACCTGAAAGGTGCCTATAAGATGCCTAGGGAAGAGCTGTTCACAAGGGCATGTAGCAATAGGATGAGGGGTAATGGTTTTAAACTAGAAAAGGGTAGATTTAGGTTGGATATTAGGAAAAAGTTTTTCAATATGAGGGTGGTAAATCACTGGAACAGGTTGCCCAGAGAGGTGGTGGAGGTCCTATCCCTGAAGATATTAAAGGTCAGGTTTGATGGGGCTCTGAGGAGCCTGATCTAGTAACATTGTCCCTGCTTACTGCAGGGGAGTTGGACTGGATGATCTTTAAAGGTCTCTTCCAACCCAATACATTCTATGATTCTATGAAAACTGTGCTGGGGTTTAACCTCACTTTTTTAAAGCTTATTGAGATCTTTAGAAAACATCATCCATAGGCATAATAAATGTTTCTCTTCTTGAAAATATTGATGATTTCTTCTTTTAATTATTGTGATATGAAAACCATGGACAAGAAGAAAACATACTGGATTCACCTTTCTGCAGCATGTGGCTTCACAAGAAGTAAATTACCCTGACACAACAGAGGTAGTAGTAGCTGATATGTATGTTATTATCTTTACATGACAGGTTACGAAATATGCATACAAATACTGAAAACTTTTTTGTCTTAGCCTGAAAATTTTTCATTGCAGTCAGAAGCAACACAGTTCAGGATTTTTACCCCTCTTTCTGATGGTCACTACTTTGTATATCAAACAAGCAAAACCAGAACTTTGATCCTGCCTAAAAGAGCTTGATTTTTCTACATTTGTATTGGTACACATTTGAAAGATCTATTTCATGAAGAGAAACTAATGATAACAGACAGATACACAGCCATTTTTAGCTGTGCAGTTGAAGATACTGAGCACTACAGTATAGCTGGCTTCTTTGCAACCACGATGCCTTTTTATTTCCTTTAGGTAACTTCTTTCCTAAAATTTCTGAATGTTACTTTTAATTATCAAGATTGAATCACCTTCTACGCTTTCATTATGAAGCAAACCACAACCAATTTTTAGCTTCCCATTAGTAAATAAAAAAAAAAACCCACAACACATAACAATACATCCAAGCATAAGAGAGGTGCAGACACTGTACAGGTGCCTTCCTTTGAAGCAGAAACATAAGGGCAGCCTTGACATACTGGACTCATGCTCCATACTGTCCTGTATTCTCTCTCTTAAGAGTGGAGACTACCATATCTTTCAGAAAGGGATATGAAGAACTCCAGAACAGTCAGGGACCACCAAATCAGCTGTTCACGAAGAGCAGTCCTGCCAAGCCACTCACAAAGAGAGCCTCGCTCATGGCGTTTTAGAAACAAGTAAAGCTAAGACAAGGTGGCAATAAGGTGCTTGCTACTATCAAATTGTTCTCAGTAAATCCATTTTTCAGGCATGTACACTGGAATGCGAAGGAAAGCTGCCTTCTGCCAAAGCCTGGGAGACCTGCAAGGAGCTCCTGCAGCTGGCAAAGCTGGACCTTTCTGAGGATGGCAGCATGGCTCCAGGTGACAAGAAAGAGCTGGATGAGAACCATTTGCTTGCGAAGAAGTACGGAGGCTTCATGAAAAGATATGGGGGATTCATGAAGAAAATGGATGAGCTCTATCGGGTAGAACCGGAGGATGAAGCTAATGGAGGAGAAATCCTGGCTAAGAGGTATGGAGGGTTTATGAAGAAGGACACAGATGATGATGCCCTTGTGAATTCCTCTGATCTGCTGAAGGAGCTTCTAGGAACAGGGGATAACCCTGAAGCAGGGCATTACCGAGAGATAAATGAAAATGACGGGGATGTCAGCAAAAGATACGGAGGCTTCATGAGGAGCGTAAAACGCAGCCCTGAATTGGAAGATGAAGCCAAAGAGCTGCAAAAGAGATATGGTGGTTTCATGAGAAGAGTGGGCAGGCCAGAGTGGTGGCTGGATTACCAGAAACGATATGGTGGGTTTCTTAAGCGCTTTGCTGACTCCATTCTTCCGTCAGAAGAAGATGGGGAAACTTACTCCAAAGAGGTCCCAGAGATGGAAAAGAGATATGGTGGATTTATGAGATTTTAATACCTTTCCCTTTATCCCTTTTGTCCTAAATGAGAAAGACTGCCTTATTGGTCATAACTTATTGTAACGTGTTGCTTGTACTGTACAGTTTTTTACTGTCCTTGGTTAATGATGCAACCTGCAATTTGTTGTTTCAGGTTCTGTGTTCTTTCAAGTCAAATAACTAATTTCTGTTTTAGTCAAGTTTTAGTCTGTATTGTAGTTTCCATGCTAGAACTATTTTGATTACTGTATCCATTTTCTTTAAAGAGGAAGTACATTACAGTAGAGTTGCTTAATTGTATATACAATAAATTCTTCATCCTAACTGCATAAATTCTATTTTCTCTGTCATTTAATCAAACATCATCTCATTTTTTCTTTAAGCACTCAGAGCAATGCCAGCCTCTTTTCTGTAATCACAGAATTTGTACTGCACACACAAAAGCTGAAACACATTTTTGTCTTTAGTTTTCTCAGTTTCCCAGACCACTAGAATAATAAATATGCTCTAAAGCAAATACAACTCTATTTGCTCTCACTGCTCTCATTTTCACCAGTTAACAGAATAAATGTTTAAAGCCTAAATGTATAATTCATAGTGTTGATCCAATTCACATTAAAAAAAATCATAAGTTTGACTTAAAGCACTAAAAACATTTCTGAAGTGCACAACTCAATGCCACATTTGATTAGTTACACTTTTTATGTCCATCCAATATAGGATTGTACAGTTGGCCGTAAAGTTACAAACACTATCTCAGGAAGCTGTAAATCAGTTTGTGCAAAATAAACATGACCCAAAACTGCATGAAAAAACTTCAAAATCCTGATTTTACAGAGCACCTGACAAATGGTTTTCCATGAAACAGCTTTGTGTTTGATTCCTCAGCTGGTGTAAATCACTTGGGCACTCCTGAAATACAGGAAACTGGTGATGAGTCTTTTCTATTTCAAACAAAGGCAGTATTAGTTCTTCTGAGAACAAACAGAAAACCCAGCACTAATGCTATAGATCCTTTGGTATTTACATAGGCTGCACTCACATCAAAGGCCAGCTCCCATCCCAGTGTGCACTTCCTTCCATAACCTTGACTGTCCCCTTGGTTTCCTCGAACAGGGATCTCTGAAGCACTTTCCCCCCATCTACTGGTACTGGCTATCAATTAACATGATAAAAATTTCTTTGGCCACAGGCACTGAAAATAATTTCAAGACACATGACCAAGACTTACAAAACTACACTAAAGTTCCTACAGCCAAAATCCTCAAAGCTGTTTAGATACTTGATTTTTTGCTGAAATGGTTTATGGGAGATAGATGTCCAAAACCACCTGTATCTCTGCATTCAGTACCTGTATTTCAGTTTTGCACAGTACTACCTGTTGACACAAAGGGCAAATTGAGGGTCTGACTTTTCTTTAAGTTCAAGTCAATGGGATCTTCTAGGTACTTAGGACTTTGAAAAATTAAGCTGCGTTTAAATATGCACTTAAAAGCCTCACCACATATAATTAGTTGTGATGATTTTTGACTTGGCCCTTAGAGCATGATATCGGTGGTATGAAGTGGCCAAAA